TCTAGAATATTTTCATTTTAGCAATCCTGTGAGCTGAATTAAAATAACAATGGACCCAGGATGGCTTGGGTTTCACCTCCAAATTTGGATGCAGAGGTCCAGCCTCGAAACAAGGAGTCAAATATTGATCAACTCAGAGAAAACTGCACTGGCTGCTTTTCCAAGATCAGAGAGCACATGAAATGAGGAGCAACCAGCACGGCCTGAACCTCTCCAGCTTTCTTTGCCTTCTCTCCCAAGTGCCTTCTCTGAACTCATCTCATTTCATCTGAATCCTTCTTAAAGAATCCATAACTGGACCCAGTTTTCAAGGGGACCTCTGGCTAGCACAGAATAGAGTAGAACTATTACTTCCAGAGATTTCAGAATTATACTTCTATTGCTGAAACCTAAAAATTTAATTGCCTTGTTTGTTTTGCAGCCACATAACACAACAGGCGCATATTCAGCATGTGCAGCCCTAAAAGCCCTATTACATTGTCCAGTTTTCTCCATCTTATACGTGCACTTTTGAGTCACTTTCATGAAAAATAAATCAGGGTGAAAGGGCTATAAGGGAATAGTATCATGCTAAAACTATTTGGCAATGTCTGGGTGTTCATATGCTGGTGGAAGAAGTTTCGAAACCAAGACACATGCATAATGCTTTTTGAGCATGTCAAGAACATGGACATAAGAGAAACCTGTTGGAATGGGGAGAATCAGTGGAATATGTTTATCTCTGTATAGAAACTTTTTCTGCAAGATGGGATTGTAAAGTGCAGCACACTCTGTTGAAAGGCAATGGTGCAGAGGTGCAGAATCCAACCCCACTGTCTCCGAATTAATGTGCAGATCAGCACTGGCCACTCTGACATCTCAGTCTGATGGAATTCCACATCCCTTCTCTGTGCCAGCAGAGCATCCTCATGAGCTGCAAAAGGAAGGAAATCCCATCTTCCATGTCCAGCTTGGAAAGGTAGCAGGTTCCTACCAGAGGGACAGAGATCTCCATCCCTCATAAACATTATTCACAAGGCTGGCTTTAAGGAATTGAATCTTGATGAATTCCAGTGGGAAATTCTTCTGCACCACTCAGACAAATATACTGATTTGAATGGATTTCACTTTGGATTTCTCACTCCTTCCAAAGCCTTGATGTGCTGCAGTTTAAGAATATCAAAATACATATTTGACTATGCATTTTGCAAAGAAGTTTGCATGAACAAATACACACACATACTAAGATGTGCTTATATAATGTTTTGTAAGGATTTTTAAAATTCACAGATTAATGTGGAAAAGGAACAAAATGAAATGATAGAGAAAAATAACCCTGACTTGGACTGAAAGCAGAGCTATTTGCTTCACTGCCAAATCATATACCTGGAACTTGAAATTCAAACAGTCCACTGGCCAATCTAATTGTTGACGAGGGATCTACATTTTATGGTCATTGAATCATCAGATGGATAGTTTATCAAGAACCACCATAAAAAGCAGCAACTGGGCAGTTTGCTTCCAGTTTATGACCAAAAATGAGTTTCATGGGCTTCTGTCCAAACAGTTTCTTAGTTCATTCCATCTGGGAACTAGAGATAAGCTTTGTGATGGAGGGAATGTTTCAGGGCTGATATATTGATGGCATTCATTTGCTTGCCTGCTTTGTTTGAGCTTCATGTGTATCCTGATTGTCAGCTACGACAGACAGCCGGGGGATTTTACCGAGCTGTGACCTGGGCCAGGGGGCTGGGGGTGAAAAAGCAAATGGCCTTGCTTATACTGAATTGTGTCATGGGAGGATAATTCTCAGACAAATTCTTGTAATTTAGATTGCCTTGGAATGTGCGCAGCTAATTCACATTCTCCTAATTGAATCTTGTATTTTCTATTAAAAGTCTAAAAAAAGTCAATGAGACCAGAAAGCGAGGTATGGCCTCTGACTGGACCACTGAGCATCTCCTGGGATTTCTTCTGCCAGTGCTTGATTTATAGAGCAGGTTGAAGGGAAGGACTTAAAGAGGGAGGAATTGCGTCCCACCCCGACTCCTCTCTGTTTTATCCAGATCATCACCATGCCTGTCCCTGAACAAGGGACACAGCTCTCTGCAACAAAGTGGGAGGAACCGGCTGCACCCAGACCCAGCTCGGCACTGAGGCTTAGCAGGCGCTGGCGCAGTCTGACTCCGAGGAGCCTGCTGCCCCAAGCAACCCCTGTGCCTTCTGCTGACTGTGAACTGCTGGATGGTCCTCTGTGTGCTTCTTTCCAGGAAGGGAGAGGGGCAGAGAGGGGTGAAAGGCCTTAGCCGAGTGCCGCACGTTGTCAACACACGTTGTCTGCTTGGAGCTACCCCAGGTCCCGCAACCACAGTCTGATTGTGGCAGGAGCAAAGCACTGCTGCAGCCACACAACTCAGCAATCCTTTAGAAGTCGGCTCCACAGAAGTCCTCAGCCTGCTTCCAGCAGCAGCTTCAGTACAGGCTCAGAGCCTGAAATTTTTTTTCCCTACACTCCCTTTGGAGTAGTTGAGCTCCAAAGCAGGGTGGAGAACTGCAGTCACAGGGCCCACTTTGACCTGGCAAGAAATTGAGAATGTGTCAAGCACCCGTGCCCCGAACCATCTTCCTAGAGCAGATTTCAGAGCTCATAGAAGATTCAACTATGGAATGACATTATGGGTTTTTCATCTCACGAGGATCCAGTTTTCTGCTGGAAGCCTAGGGGATGGTCCCTGCATCTAGTACAGGTAACATTACAGAAACAGAGAGTCAGAAGGGGCCTCCCAGACCATCTAGTCTGACCCCTGGCTCCAGCTGGCTCCTCTCATGACATGCCTACCATGTGCATGTCCAGCCTATCCTTGAAAACCTTAACTGATGGGGCCTCAACCACCTCCCACAGAAGACCATTCCATACCCTTGGGGTCCTAACTGACATCCAAATTGAACCTTGGTTCCCAGAGCTTGGCTCCATTGGAATGTGTCCTGCCCTCCTCCGCAGGGGAAAACAAGTCTCTACCCACCTCCGTATGGCATGCACTCATGTACCTGTATGTCGCCAACAGATCCCCTCAGAGTCTCCTCTTCTCCTGGCTGAAAAGACCCAGTTCCCTCAGGCTCGCCTCATACGGCTTTCCCTGCAATCTGGCCACCATTCTTGTGGCCCTATGCTGCACCAATTCCAACCAGGCTATATCCTTCCTGTAATGTGGAGCCCAGAACTGAGCACAATACTCCAGTTGCGGGTGCACCAGAGTCATATAGAGTGGTAGTAATACCTCTCTTGATCTAGAAGCCACACTTCTGGCTATGCAACCAAGGGTGGCGTTCGCCCTCTTGACCATCGCATCACACTGCTGACTCATGTTTAGCCTGCAGTCAACCAGTACCCCGAGGTCCCTTTCACAAGTGCTGCTCTCCAGCCACTTGTCCCCTAACCTGTACTTATGACAACCATTCCTTTGCCCCAAGTGCAAGACCTTGCACTTACCACATTGAACGCCATCCTGTTGTCTCCTGCCCACTTCCATAGTCGGTCCAGATCCTTCTGGATCTGGAGTACCTGCTCCTCAGTTGTGGCCACTGCCCCCATTTTAGTAACATCCGTGAATCTGATCAGCAGGCTGGTCATTCCAGGCCATTGATATAGACTGGGTCACCCCCTCTTCCAGGTCATTGATAAAAGATTGAACAGGATTGGTCCCATGACAGAGCCCTGGGGGACCCCATTTGTCACTGGCTCCCATCTTGATGATTCCCCACTAATAGTTACCCTCTGCTTTCAGTCTGTCAACCATGCCCTAATCCATTGGACAATGCATTGGTCTATCCCGAAACTCCTCAATTTCTCAACCGGGATATCATGTAGCACTTTGTCAAAGGACTTGATGAAATCCAGGTTAACCACATCCACTACTTCCCTTCTGTCTACCTACTTCGAAACCTTGCCATAGAATTCCACAAGGTTTGTCTGGCAGGACCTGTTTTTGTGGAAGCTGGGTTGCATGGCCACTAACCTTCCTTCCTTATCTAGGGTTACTGGATCTCTAGCTATTATGAGCCTTTTCATCCCCTTTCTCCTTAATAAGCAGTCCTACCACCTGTCTCCCCTTCCTCTTGCTATTGACATGTCGATAGAAGCCCTCTTTGTTACTCCTGATATTCTTTGCAAGTCTTATCTTATAATCAGCCTTAGCCTTGTAAAGAATTCTTCTGCAACAAGCCTTCTCCTCCAGGTATACCCTTTGTCTACTTGCCCCAATGCCCGTTTCCTACGGAGGTTCCTTTTATGCCTAATTCTTCTTCCCACCTCTTTGCATCCACAGCAGTGCTAACCTTTGCCTCCCCACCTTGCTAACTAGCAGTATTGTCAAGGCTTGTGCCTCCTCTGCTGAGTGCCATCCACCCCTCCTCAACTCCCTTGCCTTCCAGTCCCCTCTCCCAGGAGACCTTCCCCAGTCTGGCCTTCAATTGACCAAAGTTGGCCCTCATGAAGTCCCAGCTTCCAGTACTCGAAATAGTATAGAAGTTTATTATAGAAGTATATCCTAGAAGCTTCCAGTATTATGGTTCTGAAGTTGCAAGACACTAATGTGGCAGATATTGCCATTTTGTTGCAGCTTAAAATTGCTAAAATAGGCCACTTCCCTTTGAAGGATAAATCCTTGGTCAGCATGGAGTGAGAGCCAGCCAGACTAATCCAGCAACTCCCTACTTAGGTCTTGGTCTGCTTCTCGTGAGAGCCACGTGCAGGCGACCTTGCCCAGCTTCAAGCCCCAGCAACACCTAGAGCCTTTCATAGTGCTAGTCTCTCACCTGAGGAACCTTTGCTAGCCTGAACCCGACTGACCTATACCTGAACCCTGAAGACAAAGCCATGTCACTGAGTATAGCCAGGACCCATGGCCTGACATGGGAGGAGATGGGATAGCGCTTGCCACAGCATCTGAGGGCTGCAGGTTAGCGTCAGGGGCACAGGGAAGGTGTCAGCGTCCAGGGTGGAGGCACCGGGACCCAGGCAGATGGGGCACGGCAAGAGCAAGTCCAGTACACAGTCCAAGGTCAAGCCAGAGATCGATATACTAGGCAAGTCCATAGAGATGGGTAGTATAGTCCAAAGCCAGCCAAGGATTGGAGAACCAAGAAAGGCAGACCAGTCAGGGAGAAAGAGGTGCAGGCAGCACAGGCAGGCAGGCAGGCAGGCAGGCAGGCAGCACGCAGGCAGGCAGGAAAGCACGCTGGACACAGGCAGCACACTGGAGCAGAGTTCCAGGCCTAACAGACCAGGAAGGGCTTCATCAACATCAGGAGACCTCCATTGCAGAGAGAGCTTCTGGGAGGAAGAGCTGCTTCTTACATAGCTCTTCCCCAGGGCTCCCCAGGTGGAACTCATGAGAGCCCCGGCAGCTGCAGTGGGCTGAGGACAGAATCCTGCAACCACCAGGGCTGCTCTGCTGGCCCTTGAGGGAGCCCTGAGGCTGCCTCGGGTCTTGGCAGAAGGTCACGGAACTCTCTCCTTCCAGGGGGTCAGCACATGACTCCAGCACCCCTGCCTGAGTCAGCCACCATCCCTGGGCCTGGCACAGGAGGGAACGGATGAAGGGGAGGGGAAGCACTGATAAGGAAAAGGAATGAGTGGCTTTTGGAGGGACCCTTACTCAGCCTTCATTGCCGTAGGGTACGGGCGCTGGGGAGGGTGGGAGTGATGGGTGGTCATCTGGGGCTGTAAGTTGAGACATGCAGCACATTAATATGCATGTAAGCACCTTTGCAAGCACCTGATTCTTCTCCTTCATGAAAAAGTGTTATTTCAAAGGTGGCAGTTGGTTATCCAAGAATGAAAGCGCAGGCGGAATTGTACCTGGATGGCAGTTAAGCCACGAAACCCTTAAAGTGTCTGCCTTAGGCTCGCCTAAATGCATGTAGGATTAACTGTGGCCATTTGAAGGGGACGTTTCTCAGCTAACAATGACACAGTAGATTAGCTGGGAGCGAGAACAAAAGCAAGCTGCACTCAGCAACAAATCTAGTGAAGAGAATTTAATGTTCCATCTTGCCAGAAGAGGTGAATAAAATGCCAAGAAAGAATGGGAAGCTTGATTTATGCGGCCAGGGCCTCATGCCCAGTAATGCACAGAGTGATGGTGGAGGAGACGTTCTTGTTCTGGAAACTAGCAAACTCTGGAATGCGTGTTAAATCAGTGCTGGGTAGCCTCTATCTTAACTAGCGAGACCAGTGTAAAGGGGAGGTCCTTAAAATGGGGAGCGGGACCTTGAAGTTGTCCTTTAACAGCTAATGTCTAGATGGCAACTGAGCAGTCTTTGTGAGACATACAGTCTAATCTAACCCTCCCAGAAAGCTGTTCCAGCTAAGAGGTGGTATAGAAATCGAATATATAAATAAACAAAACAAAAACAAAAAACCCCTTATTTTTAGGCTGCCTTTAAGAGTGGGACCCTCCCATGGCAGTGTACAAGATTAGAAACACACAAAGTAGATACTATAACAACAATCCATGAAAATATGTATGCACAGACTTCCAATTTCAGTCAGTAAAAACCAATTTTAAAAACCAAGTTTACCAATCAAAATGAATGGTCCCTACTAAAGAAAAGGCCAGGGAAACCAGGTTATGTCTTTAGAGATTTGTTGAAAACCTGCAAAGGAATGGTGAGTTGTTTCTCTGATTGAATTTGATTCCAGAGATGTAGGACCAACCCTGAAAAAGGTCCCTGGATCCTACTTCCAATACTCATTTCTTTCATGACATTTCTATACTGCCCAATAGCTAAAGATCTTTAGGGGTTAACAAGGCCACCAGCATCCCTTCCCTATCTAGGATTACTAGATTTCTCACTATTATGAGCCTTCCCACTGTCTTTCCTAGAATGGTTGTAAGGCTAACTGGTCAGTAATTCCACATGTCCCCTCTACGGCCCTTCTGAAAATCAGGACCACTGACGCCACCCTCCAGTCCACTGGAACCTCACCTATTCTCAACAAGGCCTCAAAAACAGCGGCCAGCGGGCGTGAAAGTATCCCCTCCAACTCCCAAAGTACCCTCCCAAAGTACCGGTGTAACCCGTCAGGGCCCAGCGCCTTTGTAACATTCAGTGCCCTGAGAAGCTCCTCGACTTCTAGGGGGGTGAATTTAATCTGTGCCCCTAAATCCCTGGCCTCATCCAGTCCCCCATGTAGATCTCCCTTGTCCTGCTTTGGGGAAAACACAGAGGCAAAACCATCATTTAGCATCTGTGCCTGTTCCCTCACATCAGTCACCGAATCCCCTTCCTCCTCATTAAGCGGTCCCACTGCCTGTCTCCCCTTCCTCTTGCTATTTACATGTTGATGGAAGCCCATGCATGCTGCTTGCTATCCTTGGGCTCCTTCAAGGAGTGAAATGTAACAAAGAAATCACAAATAAAACATCTGCAAAAACACATTCATGAGCATAAGAAGATGTGGTGGTAGATTTTTACATTTTTATAGCATCCGTTGCAATAGTTTTTCACTCAAGTTTGTTTATCTAGGCAGTTATTTTTAATGCATCCGAGGAAGCTGATTTTCCTTCTGCAGAAGAACAGATGCCTTGATAGATGCCTGTGTCTTTATGGTACTGAGAGGATTGCTGTGATTTTCTTCTGTAGATTTGTGCAGAGATTTCTGTAGGATCTCTCCTGTAACTGATTCCTCTTTTTCATGCTGGGCACATGCAGCAACCCGTGTACTGTGCCTTTAAGACTATGTATGTGTTGCCAGCTTTCTGGTCCTTCCCAGAGCTAGAAGTGCCAGGTGCAGGCAAGGAGAGAAGTTCGAGAGTCCAATCCCACATCTCTGAGCTTCTGGCTCTATCTCTGAGTTATCTGGGAACTAAAAGTTTCTTCCTGGAACCTGACTGTAACTGCCTTTTGAAAAAAAAGAACCGGACAAAACAAAATCTTTCCATTTTGAAACCTCAGAAGCTCCCAAGGTGTCATCTGCAGGGGGATCGTCTGCCATGAAAACTGCAAGGACATGCAAGAGGGCTAAAACTGTGAAGCGCCACACCAGCATCTGCACCTACCCGGAGCCCCCCCACAGGTGAGAGATGGTCCTTCTGTTGGTTCTGTCCTACGGGTCGGACGAAAATGCTTAGAGGGAGCCAGGTGCAAAGCAGGGCTGCAGGGCATCAGCAAGAGTTGCAAAAGGGGGACTTCTGCCCAGCTGCTTCTCCCCTCATCCTTCTGTGTTAACCCACATCTGCCAAAATCCCACTTTATGCAATTCTCCAGGTACAGGATCCTTGTTTGTATATTATTTCTCAAGGCTGAACTTCCTTTGCCTTCCTCTTATTCTCTTCCCCTCTGTTTCTCATCTCTTTCATTTTCTCTCCCTGGCAAACAGATACCGCAACGCTTTTTAAGAAAGTATGTTTAATGTCAAACATTTGTATCCGATCTTTCTATCACTCAGGCACTTGAGAGTTAAGAGCCTTATTTACAAAAATAAGGGGAGAGAAAAATATCAGAATGATGAAGGCTAGAGAGAGAGAATCCTTATAAAATGCTTGAATCAAGTGCCTGCTTTTTCATTACACATTGACATTGTGAACAAGAATCTGTATATTACAGAGGATTTCTTTGGATGCAATCTTTTCAGTGATTTTTCTCCAGACTCTCGGTGCTTGAGTTCAAATCCAATGCAATGGATTGCTATTTCTGAAAGATCCCAGTTTTATTCCATTCCTGCCAGAATGGTAAGCAATTCCGAGAGAGAGGTAGAGAGAGAGATTTGGTGCCTCGTTTTATTAATGTAAGAAAATATGATCTGCTGGATTTTACACACATTCACTCAAAATCGCCATTGCAAAGATGAATATAAACCTAATTCTATTGTTCTTCATTTGAAAATAACGTTATGAGTCTTCATTAAACATTTCAGGTGCTTACATAGAAACATATTTCTCGCCATGCCAAAGACTCATAACACCACTGTTTTAAAACTAAGGCTGCAATCCTAAGCATATGTACCTAGGAGTAAAGCCAGTGGTTACCACATTTTGTTGCTTGAATACCTCCCTGAAGTATAAGTGAAATATAGAGATTTAAAGAATAAACAATACACTTTGCTCCTAGGAGTTTACCTTTATAAAGAAAAATGGGATATGCATTTTATAAATAAATAAAACCTTTCTGGGAGCTACTTTGCTTGCATAGATGGTTTGGATCTACACGTTGCTATCTATACCACAGTGTTGCCAAGAAGATTTATTTTCTCTGTTCTCAAACTAGATGCTGAGAAACCAGACTGGTCGGGTCACAGTCTTTTTATGGTGTTCTTGCTACTTTGCGCTTTTCAAAAGCAGACTGAGAGAGGACAATGAAACATGTCAGTTCCCTACCCCCACCCCCACCCCCACCCTGAAACGGAATGTCTATTTACAACGCAACCCTATACATGCTTAGTGGAACTTATTTCCATGGGGAAATGCAGAGATTTGTGCTGTAAGAAGGCATTTCTCTTCTTCTTCTTCTTCTTCTTTTTTTTTGGGGGGGGGGTCATCTGTTTAATTAAGCTCAATGCAATTTACTCCTAGAGCAGCATGTGCCAGTCTGCCCAAAAAGCACAGGAACAGGAGCAGTCAGAGAAGATGATAACAAAACCGATGTGATGTAGATGACCCAAACAGGACTTGTTTATGTGAGGGTGTTTCAGTATTTATCGGCACAGTTGCAACGTTTGCTTTGGCTGAAAGAATCTGCAACGATCACTCACCTTACCTGTGTTCTCCACGGGATGCTGGGCGATGCATCTAGCAACTCTGATGAAGATAATGGGGAAGACAAGGTGGACAGCAATGACCCAGAACAGATCTTCCAGAACATCCAGTTCCAGAAGGAGATCATGGCCAACATCCGCTGCAGGCCGTGGTCCATGAGGCAGAAACTCAGGGCACTCAGGTAATGAACATCCAGCAGTACGATCCATGCTTTCTCAAGGGTGTGCTCATGAGTTTCTAAAAGTATGACTTGGATTTTTTCATACTTACCAAGAAAAAAGTCTGTTTAGGAGTGGGAAACCATGCTGAGTACATTTTGAAAAGACTCCCATTTGAGTTAAGGGGGAGCTGCTGCCAGTTGTAGAAGATAATGTTGAGCTAGAGGGACCAGTAAGCTACCTGCATACAGGACAGCCTTGTATGTACCCCAAACGCCTTAGATCGCTGTGGGGAGGCTGGAGTGGCCCTCTGGAAGTTGTACTCCAGTTTCCTTCTTGTCGTTGCAAGGAGCAGAAACCCAGTGAGGGAGCAAGGCCATGCAAGTTTAGGCTTAGCTGTCTGGGGCATGCTGAGAACTGTAGGTCATTTTTTCTGTCTAAATTTAAATGGGATTCCATCTTTAGACTAGCCTTCCCCTCCAGCTGCTTTTAATTCCCATTCCCACAATGCCTACCAATTGGCCATGATGGCTGGGCCTGATGGAGTTGCAGTCCAAAACATCTGGAGGGCACCTGGCTGAGGAACGGCCTTACGCCAACTCAGAATCGGTGCATCTCACCCAGTATTATCTGCACCTGCCTTCCCCAGCCCAGTGTCCCCTTGATGCTTTGGAATCCGGCTCCCAGCAGTCTCTGCTAGCATGGCCAATGTCAGGAAAGCTGAGAGGTGGCATACAAAAGCCACGTTGAGGAAGACAGGTCCAGGCCTTCAGCCAACCCTGCCTGGAGATGCCAGGGATTGAACCTGGGGCCGCTGGCCTGTAAAGCAGGTGCTCACCTCTGCAGGTGCAAGGCTGGCTCGAGGCACTGGCTACCTGAGCCCAAGGACAGAGATGGTGTGCAGCCCATTCCACACGCAGAAGCTGATCACCCAGGAAGCTGGATCCCATTTTGGCCTGGGCCACGGCACAGCATCCTCCCGAGGGCAGCAGCCTGGCTCAGCCCTGTGTCTCAACACCTCACTGCTGCCCCCGCATTTGCCGCCAAAGGACCCCACCTCGCTTTTTTCTAATAGCAGGGCCAGCCCTGTTCAGGGCCCCCCAAATGGCAGCTTCACCCCAAAAACCACAAAGAGGGAATTGTGCCCTCCTTCAGCAGCCACCTTTTACTCTGTGCACACTCAACCATTTCTCTAAGGGGAAACACGGAGGGGATTTTGAACAGAGGCAGAGCGCCAACTTGTTTTCAGTAACTAAGGGAGAGGCAAGCGCAGGGATGCACGCCACGGGACTTGCGTGTTTGCTGGATGTCATTTATGAAAGCGTGGAGGGAGCAGTGGTTAGATCTGCCCCTCCTGAGACTAGGCTCTCCTTTTCCCTGGCAGACAAGCAAAAGAGATTGTGCTGAAGTACGAAGGGCGTCTGACGCGGACCAGGGGCTACCAGGCAGCTGGCACAGAGGTTGGTCTGCTTTTCATCCAAAGCTCCAGAGCTCCCTTTCCATGGAAACATTCCAAGAATTTCCATTTGCAGAGGGAAATATTTTTGGTAAATCAGGGTTGTCTCAGTAAAACAGATAGCAACCAAGAGGTTGTCAAGCAAGGCCAGCTGCAAGAGATCTCCCCAGCCATGCATTATATTATATTATATTATATTATATTATATTATATTATATTCAGTCAGTTCAGATTGTTTTTAGTCATCAGACCATAACCGAACACACACTTAACAAAGGATACTAACAGACAATAAGAGGATAACATATTTACATAAAATTAAAGCATAATATAATATTAAAATATTGAATTTCAGAGGCTGGGACTATAATTGCTATTCATTTGATTTAGCTTGTTAGGAGCATTCTAACTCTGCAACTTGTCTGTCTCTGTTTATTTGACTTTGCCACAGCAGGGGCTTAAGTTTGATACTCACGTGTAACTTCACACCCTCTACTATTGCAAGCCTTTTGCAGCCCCAGAGTTGCAAGAATGTACCATCTGTTCCCTCTTTAATTACAATACTTTGCAGTTTATAGCCTCATAAGAACCATTAAATTAATTAGCGTTGACCACCGGATTTATTCATTCCACGTTCTAGCAACCTGGCTTGAAAGAGAGGGACTGTGGGGGCGGCTGGCGCTGCAGGAGATTGTCGGTTGGCAGAACAGCATCCATCAGCCACCCTCATTCTCTCTGTCCTCGTGGCCTCCAATCTCTGCCTTGGGTGGGCAGGGCACCCTCTGGACCTCCCCAAGTGGGGCGGGGGAGATTTGTGTAGAGAACTGCATGGGTAAGGATGAGAAGAGATGTCCCATTGATTTTATTCTTTTATTTCATGGATATATCAGCTGCCATATTTAAAAAAATAACTCTACGCAATTTACAGAAAATATGTTGATCAAACAGAAGTCCATTCATCCAATGTTGGTGTCAGCCTTTCAGCCCAAGGGCCAAACTCAGTTCAAGAAAAACTCTTGGGGGCTGCACTTTAGGGATGGGTGAGGCAAAGGAAAGGGGAGGGCCCAAATATGCAAAATACCAGCATGTGTCAGCTTAATGCTCTTACTGCCAGTAACTAAGCCTTAGGAGAGGCATCTCAACTGTTTCAAATGGGGACAATACTGCTCCAAAGCTGGGGCACCACCAGATGGTTAGTGGTCAGGGGGCCAGCAGTGCCTTGCAAGGAGAGCAAGAAGTGGCCCAGGGGCCAGTGGTTCCCCTTGCCTGCTGAACAAGAAAATAGCCACTCTGCAAGTCAGTTAGATGGCCAATTTTTGCTTGAGATAGTGAAGAACAGAAATGGCAAAGCTGTCAGGATGTATCTCCTCTCACCACCCTTGGTCCCTTCTCCAAGGTACTGTCTTGGAGGAACAGCCAGTGCTGCTCATTCCATTCTAGCTGTAAGAATGGAAGAAACCTCTGAGGGGAAATTCCTTCTTCCAGGGCTGAAAGTGTGTTTCCAATCTCAGATCCAGGAATCCAAAGAACTCCGTGGCCCTGTTTTTGGGGATAAGCTGCAGAAGTTTATTTCATATACAGATTTCAATACCACCACTTTTCCAATGTGCCCAGCTTGCAGTTCAGAGCAATATGGTAGCCAGTTGAATCCCATTTAACTGTGTGGCACTTGGCAGAATGAGTCCCAGCCCTGCAATCATCTACACACTGAATTACCTCCATGGCGTATTGCTTTTAGGTACAACTGCCTGTTTGTGTCTTCCAGCTGAACAGTTGTGTCTTGAGCTATATGCACATATGTTAAAGCTTTATTAGCATCTATAATACATCATGCCTGGAGAATATCAAACAAAACCTTCACATGCAAAAATGGCATGATATTTATTCGAGAATAGGCTTATTGGTGGAAAACTGAATGAGAGGAGGAAAACAGGTTCTCGGGGATGTAATTCAGCCTTCCAGCAAAAGCGTGACAGAGAAGAGCTGAAAATGGTCTTGTCTCTTAATTTCATGTAGAACTTGAAACAACAAATGAGTTTATGCATTTGGTTTTTTCTAGCTCTGGCGAAAATTTGTCCGGCTTGCATATAACTTTATGGTCATCTTTATTCCTTGGGAAATGAGAATTAAAAAAATAGAAAGTAAGTAAGAACTAAAATGTGCCTTCCAAGAGCAGGGGGCTGAGAACAAGGAATGTCTTTAGACTAACATGATTTTTGAAAGTACAGCTTTGGTTGTATCCCATGCCTGAATTTAGGGGGGGGGGGAGCAAGCCCTCCCTCTGGGCTGTAGTCCAGCATGCTTCATACAATGTAAATTCTATTAGCATATCACCATGAAGACTTGTAGGCACTTAAACCCATCTCCTCCTCGAATGCATCCAGTCCTTTCCAAACTGTTCCAACCTGGGGCCTCTCAGCATGAGGGGGTTTACCCACTGCTTTACTTTTGCATCCTTTGCAATTCCCCCTCCCCTTCCCTCCCCTCCCCAGGGCTCGCATTCCTCTGCTTTTCTATGTACTGTATTAAGCAGCCACAACTAGGCCCTGCGGAATAGCTGCACTGAAGCAGCAGCGAGACTTCTCACAAGACTCCCCCCACCCTGCCCCTGTTGGAAATGTGATAACAGAACTTCCTTACTTTAGAAATCCTGTAGGAATGATTGGAAAATGCAGTGGAGGCCCTGGAGGATCCCTCCTGAAAAGTCTCTGCAAATTTCCACTAGTCAAGGATTGCAAGCACACAACTGATGCCTCATGGAGAGAAGCCCCTTGATGGCCTTCATGGCATCTTGCTGCGATGGATTCTATAGCTTGGCTCTGCTGTGCAAAACAGTCCTTCCCTTTTATCTGTGCTGAATCTCCCACTGTGCAGGCTGGGAGTACTATGTTGCGAGGGTGGGGAGTGTGTACGTGTGTGTGTTGGTCTAAAATGCAATCACCTTAAAAGATCGTGCCCTCAATCAGTTAACTGGCCTAGATTTCCCACTATCTCATGCAGGAGCGCACAAAACCCCAAAACAACAATAGTTAACCACATCTGTCAGTTATTTGCACAGCACAAATCAAAACCGGCCTCAGCCAACGAAATAGCTGGCTGCACCCACCTGCTCAGGTGTCTGTCCCACTGGGCTCAGTGAGGTTTACAATGTAGCAGCACATATAGGATTGCAGCTTAACATCACTTAAAGGTTAAACTCTACCAATGTTTATATCCACATGAAACAACCCATCTATATGGGTTTAGATCCCATGTTTAGATGTTTTAGATCCCATGAAACAACCCATCAATGGGACTTTTTTTTTTCTTTTTCTTTTGCGGTTTAAGGTCACTTTGGTTCCGGAGTTGCCTCTTACTTTATTTTTTTGAGATGGCTATTTGGAATCAACATTGTCCTCACCATCATGACGGGGGCATTTGTTGTTTTACCAGAGGTAAGCAATGTTGTGGAGAAGAATGTGATCAATGGCACTTCTGGAAATAATTTAAAAAACCACTTTAGGCCGTAATGGTATTCTTGGTGTATGGCTGCCTAAATTCTACCAGGGGAGGGAAAGAGACAGACAGACAGACAGATGGAGGCAACCTTGGATCCAGATCTGTGCATCAAGTGCCACATTAAGTCTTATTCGTTTACTACAGTTGTATCCTGCCCATTGTGTGCATAAAGGGTAGAAATGTCAGGTCAAGACACAAGTTATGGTACATCTGGGCCATGCTTACTGAACTATGATTTGTGAAGGGAAAGTGTCAAGGGGTCCTACCTGTAGCAGTCAGAATGGGAGACATCCATCCTTGAAGTGGCACCTTTAGGTTTACAAACCGTCAGGTTTACAGGTGAGATGAGATGGAGCCTCAGATGAACCAATCTGAACTCAGTGAACTTCGGGGGCAAAGGTGGACCACAACCTAGATCCTACAAGTCCCTGTCCAATACCCGAGCCACTATGCCACACTGGCACAATGGCTGCAAACACAACTCTCGGGAGTCCTCATCATGAACCACGATGGCTGGACAGATGGGAACTGAAGTCCAAAACTTCTGGAAGGAGCCAAGTTGGGGGTGGCTGCTGTAATGTTGAAAGGGTGGCCGCTCTCTCTTAGGAATGCCCTAGCAGACAGAAAGAATATTTCTGCATCTTTTTCCTCTGCTTTGTTGCAGATCCTGGCTGGCAAGCCCTTTGGAAGTACCCCCAGTAAGCGCATCCCACCCAAGCAGCTAGACTCTGCACAGGACTTGGATACGATCTGGTCTTTGGGGGCAAGGCGACAAATCTTTATTATATTCCTTATAGAAATGTGTGGTCTGACTGGGTCAGCTCACAGACTAAAAGCATGGATGATCCAGAGCAGATCTTCCAGAACATACAGTTCCAGAAGTACTTCTTTTATGTTTCTTTGTTTACTTAATGATTTATGGGTTGTTTTGACTAAACACTTTCACCCAGCTCTTCAACCCCAAGGGCTTCCAGGCTGCTTTTGTAGAGACAATCCCTTCCATCAGGCTTATCATCTGTAATGACATGACACAAAAGGAAGGAGATGTGGAGGGAAGAGGAATAAGTGCAAACCTCAGTCATAGCATCTATCATGGCCAGCTGTAAACTGTGCCAAAATAAGAGGAGCTGCTGTTGCAGCAAAGCTGGCAGAACAGCCGTGCTCCAGATCCCTTCTCCTGACTGCTTCTCTTGTTGTTTCTCTAGGGCTACCTCCAGTACTCCGTGTTATTCTACGGCTACTATGGACAGGATAGAAAGATTGGGAAGGCTGGGTATCGACTGCCCCTGGCATACTTCCTTGTTGGAATGGCGGTCTTTGCATACAGTTTCATCATCCTTTTAAAGAAGTAAAGCAGCTTTTGTGCCTATGAACATCCAAAATTGAATGGGGTGGGTCCTTCCCCAGTTAAATTTCCAGTAAGCTGGCTAGGAATAACACTGAACATAAAGGGAAGTATAGTAATTTCGGTGTGTGTGCGGGGGTGTTTAATAGAACAGCACATATGCAATTAATGATGCTAAAAACATGTTTAGAAACAGGGTCCTTAACAAGGCGGGATTCCAGCTAGATATAAAGATTTATCAGGAATAGTAGTAGTCATTTAAGTTGAAATCCTACAAATGCACTTACCTGCCGGGAGTAAGCCCCCTGAATTCAGTGGACCTGAGTACACACACCTAGAAATGCACAGGTTCACATTTGGGTCCAGGAGCTAAAACACCAGATGAACTCTGGTCAAAAATGACCTGCACTGGATTTCTTATGCACCCCCATCATGCATACATGTATGCATTTCATCCCTATCCTGCCCAATAGGTAGAGCTCTCCCAGTGGTTATCAAACTGTCAGTTTAAACACAGCGTTCTTCACTGGAGCCAGTTCTCCCATCCATCCAAGCAAACCAAGGTCAAAGGACCAAATCCAGTGAAGAGCCATTGTGTGTATCTGTGGGCCAGCTCACTCCTTTTAATGGCTCACTCCTTTTAATCTTCCTTGTTCTATTCTAGGATGGCCAAAAATTCAAGAATGAGTTTAGCTAGTGCCTCCGATGAAAATTACACATTTTGTTGGCGAGTGTTCTGTGCCTGGGATTATCTCATTGGAAATCCTGAGGCTGCAGAGAGCAAATCAGCTGCCATAGTTAACAGCATCAGGGTAAGCAACCCATGGCTTGAGCCCAAAGAAATGTCCAAGCAGGACGCTGGCGGGGGGAGGGGGGCTGGTGCCTCCCTGGTCAGAGGGGCTCTTTGTCAGCCTTGTAGCAGTGATCCAGCATGCTGAGCTCCACCCACAAAATAGGTTCATTCCGTGGAGCCCCACGGGTAGCTCCTATAACGCTCAAAAGAAAGCTGCAATGGATGGACAGCCCCACTGACCTCGGATTCATTTTTCCCCTGCAGTGGAGCGCAGGACGCGTTCCCATGGAGCGAAATTCAGGGAACCAAGATTCAGGGTCAATGCCAGGAAGTACTTCCTGATGGTTAGGACCCTGAGGGTATGGAATGGGCTTCCATGGGAGGTGGTTGAGGCCCCATCAGTGAGGGTGTTCAAGGATAGGCTGGACATGCACATGGTATGCATGACATGAGCAGAGCTGGCTGGAGCCAGGGGTCAGACTAGATGGCCCAGGATCCCCACTCTGACTAACTCTGTTTCTATGTTTCTATGTAACATCCCCTGGGTGTCATTGAACCAAATCCAGCCCACCTAGAATCTCCATCACGCCAGCTGGAGCCACAGCCCTTTCCCCAAACAACTGACCCTTCAGTTTCCTAGCCTTGGTGCATCCTTTGCCCCCATTCTAAAAGGCTGAGACAGTGACCAGCAGTAAGAGCTTTCAGCCAATATGCTGGTATGTCTGGCCCCATCCTTTTGTCCTGCGGCTCCTCCCATCACTGGAGTGTGATCAATGAGAGCTTCTCCAAAACTGAATTCAGCTCCTGCGATGAAGAGATTTGGCACCTGTCACCTATAAGATTGTGTTTGAGGGCAATAGCTGTATTTGTATTGGTGGGCATTTGGAATGCCTCCCACTGTTTATTTAACACCTCCTCCTCCTCCTGAGCAAACTATCCACCGCTGGAGTGCATATTATGTGGCGTGCGATTTCGTTAGGCATTATGCAGCCATGTACATGGGAGAACTATGCCTTAGTTTTAAACTGCAATGATTCACATTTAATTAGCATTAATAAATTCAGCCTACATCCTAAAAGCATAGCTATGTTCTGGCTGCCAATGGAAATTCCCTTCCTTCCATTTGACAGATGCTGTCAGATAACCCAGATTAATTATCCAACTGCTGCAAGGTGCATGCAATTCGACTCCAGTCTGCTACCACTGTAAGCCCCTTCCTCAATTTGAGGCAGATTGGTCTCTCTCTCAATCCAACATTCCAACAGTTGCATAACAGAAATATTAATGCCTTGCTCCCAGTCTTGATTAGTAAACAAAGTGTATTGGGCCATATTTCTACTCAATCTCAGCTTTCTGTGTAATGGAAGTACCTTAACACCCAAGGGACAGAAAAAGAGACTGAGTCAAAGAACTTCAGGCTTGAGGGCTAGATCTACTTCCTCTGTGGCCCCAGTCCAGCCTTCCTGAGGCCCCCCAAAACACCCGAACCCCTTCCCCCAACCACTGGACATTGGTGTTCTCCTGGCTTTTGTAAGGTTCGTTCCCACTTCTAAAAGGCTGAAATGTTTCTGCTAGGACATTTGTTACCAGCAGTAAGAACTTTAAGCTACAATATTTGTGCATTTTTGGCTTGTGGCCTCATCTACCACTGGAAAGTAGGAGGAGGCAGCCCTGGGAGCTGCCTGGCCTGTGAAGCGAAAAAGGTTCCACACCCCTGTTACAGAGGAAGAACTAAGCAACAGAATCTTGTTAATGTTCCTTTTAAAAAAGCTCCAGTAGTTTCATTGGGACTAATCCAGATACGGGAGTGCAGACAGGTGGCCACCCTGCTCTCCAACCAATACCTACCTGAGTGACCATTCTATCAAACTCAATGAAAATTTCCTCTGAGTGGCCATGCTTAGGATTTGGCATCACATCTGATTATTTCTGTGTTTCTTTCAAGGAAGCCATTCTAGAAGAACAGGAAAAGAAGAAAAGCACAAATCTGTATGTATGCATAGAATTCTTACCTGTATGCCATGCCTTTGTGGTCCAGGTTTAGCACATCATACCTGTGCTGCACTGTTACCATAACATGCAATAATAGCAGTGATTATCTCAAATGATTTCCCCTAAAACATCTACAAAAGGGAGCCAGCATGGTACAGTGTTTGGGGAGCTGGGCTGAGACTGGGGAGGTCTGGGTTCAGGTCCCCCTCAGCCATGAAGCTCACTGGGCGACTTGGGCCATTCCTTGACTCTCAGACTAGCCTCCTTCACAGGGTTGTTGTGAGGATACAAAGGAGAGGAGGGAGGCCATGTGGACTATCATGGGCTCCTTGCAAAAGGGGAAAGGCAGGGGGTAAATATCCTAAGAAAGAAATGAAACACTTGTGCATCCCATCCTGTTCCTTGTGTACTCAGTGGCGTGACAATAAGCTTACGGATCATTGCCAACATCCTTGTGCTCCTCTCCTTGGCTGGAAGCATTTACATCATTTACTTTGTGGTGGATCGGTCCCAGAAGTTGGAGCAGATGAAAAAGCAGCTGACCCTCTGGGAAAAGAATGAGGTGAGAGCACCGTCACTGGCGTTGGCCTCCATTCCAAGGTTCCATTTGGATGCCAGGAAGGACTTCCTCACAGTTAGGACCTCCGAGGTGTGGAACGGGCTTCCACGGGAGGTGGTTGAGGCCCCACCGGTGCGGGTGTTCAAGGATAGGCTGGACGTGCACATGGTGGGCATGTTGTAAGCGGAGCCGGCTGGAGCCAAGGGTCAGACTAGATGGCCCAGGAGACCCCTTCTGACTCATTCTGCTTCTACATTTCAATATGGGGAAAATACTGATACTCATTGACAGGGTCAGCCTGAGGCAAAAAACCAGATGGCTCCTCCTGTCCCATTCCATATACAAGAGCCAAACGGAATAGCAGCTGATACTTTCCGCAGTACTGACAGTGGGCCCGGGTGCCCCCTGCACCTGGGGGGCTGCATGGAACGCAGCTTCTCCCCCAACACCTTCCTGCTGCATCCCAGCACCTGCCAGCTGAGGGGTTTGCCTCACTTCCCCAAAGAGCAGGGCCAGCCCTGGTCCCTGGCCAATTTACTGGGCTGCCTGTTCTGCCTCTGAAAGAACATCCGTGAAGATGGAGTGTATTGCTTGAACTGTGCCATGACTCCTTCCTGGATTAGTCCCATCCACACACCAAGAAGGAACTCACTGCCACATCTCTTTCCCTTTTACTCTGCAGTAAGTGCAGGGGTCCCCAGTCCGGATGAGGCCCCTACTGGGGTTGGGCAGGTAGGCAGAGGAACTTTAACCTTCCCTCCCGTGATTCTGTTCCAGATCAGGCAGGGAAAGTGTCTGAAAATTAGATGGTTAGACAGTGATCTTCTGCCCTTCCTCTTGAGTAAGGGAGAAGAGACATGATTGCCAGTTGCAGCGTTACAGGACTGTGTGGCTTGGCCTTTGTTGTGGGCTTTTTGGTTAATTCCTTGGAGGACCACAGTGATGGGGGATATAGAAACACAGAAACACAGAGACACAGCAAGTCAGAAGGGGCCTCTGACCCCCAGCTCCACTCATACAACCCTCAACATGTGGTTGTCCAGTCTTTAATATCCAACCTGCACACACTGCAGAAGACAGACCCCAGTTTGTCCCTAAACAATAGCCGTGTGTGCTGACGGAGCAGGCAATGGATTTTAAGACCTTTCCATCTCTGTACATGCACTGCATTGTACTTGCAACTGTTACGTTTTTGATGCCTCTTGATTTTTCCATTGCTTGCTTTGGTTGTTAATTTATTTATTATTTATTTAAAACATCTGTATGCCGTCCTTTAGGACAACGTCTCAGGATGGCTTGCAACATTTCATCGTCTCGGCTTTCTGATATCGCTTGCAAATCACCCTGACATCTTCTTTGCAGGTGAGTGTTGTCGTCTCCCTCATCACAATGCTTGCCCCATCTGCCTTTGAACTGGTGGCAGCCTTGGAAATGTACCATCCTCGAACCACGCTGCGCTTTCAGCTGGCCAGGTATGGAAAACCAGCCCTTTCAAGTCACACGGGAAAAAAGGTGAACCAATTGCTAGGCAGGCTGCTTCTGAATTGCCAAAAGGAAAGTAGACATGCATGACCAAAAAGGAGGGGTGGGGGAAAGGACATCAGTATGCATGAAATGTGCATGTGCCAAGGTACACGTATCAGTGCACGTTTAGACGTTATCATTGCGATGCAAGTAGCAAAACAATGCATCTCGTTGTAGTGCAGAAGGCCAAGACTGAGTGCCTTCATCAGTCTGCTGTCCGGGAGCTGCTGATGGAGAATCCCCGGGCTCTTGCTCTTCTTTCTGGGAGGTCTTTGTTGTGGTGGGGGATCTCACATCCCTTCCACAGAGGACACCTTCAAAACAGAGGACAATGGCCTTGCAGAGGAAGGACTGTCCCCTGTTAAAGAGAACCCTGGCCACTTGGGATGGCATGAAACCAAGCAGCGTGCAGGTGGGAAGGGAACCCTGAAATGGTATTACCTGACTTTTCTTTCACTTCTTTCACTTGCTGCTTTTGACAGAGTTCTCGTCTTATATCTGGGAAATCTCTACAGTTTAATTATAGCCCTTTTGGATAAAGTGGACAGCATGAGCATCACCGTAAGTTGTGGGTCTCGGCCATTGTAGGGGAAAAAAGTGTGCAGCTTCTTGTTTCATCATTGTTCTCTGAAATGGATGGAAAATGTGTCGATTTCTGTACCACAGCAGGTGAACTAATAATCTGGAAGCCACCAGACTCTCTCTCTCCCTCCCTCTCGCACACACCACTCTCTCCCTTCACTCACATGGTGGCCTTGGCAAACCTGCCCCCCTGACACATTACCTCACAGGGATGAGCAGTATCTACTGCTTCTTTGCTCTGCGCATTCTCTGCACATCAACCGAATGCTCGTCTCTCCTTCAATTTCCACAAGCACTTGTGAGTGTTATTCAGTTTGCACAGATGGGAAATGTATGCAAAGGGAACTTGATCAGTTTGGGAAATTGCACAAACCTCCGAGTGTTTTTCAAATTTGGCAACTTTCCCCCATAAAACTGAAATGCGAAATTATGCACTTTTAAAATTTTGAACTGTTTTTTCTCAGAAATTTGCTCCATTTTCAAATGCAAGGACATAGTCAAACATGTGTGAACAATTCTGGAGAACACGTTCTCTGTGCAAGGTCCTCTTTTCAGCTGCAAATGGGGCTTGTTCAACTGCCTTGCAAGCAAAATTCTCGCATATTCCCACCATCTCATCCCCCTTCTCTGATTCTGCAATAACAGTAAATTACAGGGGCATAGGGAGTGGGCTAGTCTGACCACTGGGCCATCTATCCCAGTACTGCTTGCCGTGGCTGGCAACAGCTCTTTCTCAACTTAATTAACAGCTCTTTCTCAATTATTTGGAGATGGGGGGGGCTTGATCTTAGAACCTCCCGCATGCACTCAGCCATGCCTTTTATCGAATAATGTAAGAGTTGCAAGAGAATGTATGCCAGTCTTCCCTAGCCTGGCGCCACCAGATATCTCAACTACAATACCCAATTTTCCTGACTATAATGAGTGTAGAAGTCCAAAACCTCTGGAAAGCTGAATTGTAGGTGAAGTGCCTTGTACAGCTGAAAAGCAGTGTAGAAACACTAAGTATTAAGTCTTGGTAGAATGTTAAAGAGGCAACATGGTGGAGGGAGGGAGAGAGAGAAGCAGAAGCTATCAGGTCTGAATAAGAGCGAGGCTGTGTGTTGGCTACCTCTCAGAAAAATCATCAGAGTCCCAAAAGCTCCATCCTAATTATCAAAGAAAATTTGAGGGCCTTTCCTTGCAGTCCTAAACATTTTAAAGCTCCAGACACTCTGGACCCAAGCTGTTTTAAAAACCACCTTGTGAATATAATGTTCAAGCCACTTGCATTTCAGGAAACTGGACTTCACAGAAATGGAAGCAGCCTGGTCGATGAGTCCGCCTTCTTAGCTACTAAAAACTTTCTGGAAGACAACTTTTCCACGACGATTCCCAACATGCACATTCTGAGGAATGACACCTTCCCTCTGGCTGAGAATCGCACGCAGCACTCTGCCCCGCCTGCCAGCATGGTGATGGCCAACACGACAGCAGCTTCTGAATCTGAGGGCGAAAGTCACCAGGATCAATGCTGGGAGACCTACGTGGGCCAAGTAGGTCAAAACCTTCTGTGAGATATGGTGGTACCAAAGCAGGCAGTGCCTAATCAGTGATGGCACAAACATTTGAAGAATATTCTCATTACAGAGATCTGCTAAGCCCTCTCTTTCTGATGTTTGCTAAAGACCTTCTGTTGCAATTGACTTTTTGGGTGTGCGATTTTACTGCTTTCCATGTGCTGCTACTTTTCAATGCATTGCTTTTATTGATTTTTAAATAATGATGAATTTTAGCATAATTTTTCATTTCATTTCTCATGTTATTTTAATCTTTGCAAGCCTGCAAGTGTGTTTATAACAATAAAGTGGGATGAAAAATATTAAGTATGTAGCAATCCCAGAAGCATTGGTGTTTTAATAAACGATATACCCAGGCCATATTTAACAAAATCTGTACATCCTTACCTGCACCCACTAAACTACTCTGCTATTCTCACCTGCAACAGAGCTCACAGTTCTGTCAGCACTGTTGAAGTAACATGCGACCCCCAGCTTGGCTGCATTGCATAGAACGAAGTGGGGGGAACTTATCCTTCATCTTAGCCAGGAAAATGTCTTGGGTCAGTCCTGTACCTGGGAGCAAGCATCAAACCTGCATGACTTCATAAAAATGTGCAAGATCGCAATGAAATGTATGCACAATTATAAGAAACTTCAAATAAAAAGACTTCACAAAACAAAGAGGAAATCCTGCCAGGGTGCACCACGTCTGTGCTTTATGCAGGCCGTAGGTCTTGGATTCTTTGCATGCAGAATGTTGATCTTCCATATTTCACCCGGCTCTATCTAGCCAGGTAGATTTGAAAGGTTGGTGCATATGATCCTGCTGCTGGGTTGACCTTGTGTTCTCCTGCCCTTGGTGTTTGCTGCTCTGCACATGGGCCAACGGAGCATCCTGCTTCTTTGCAATGAGAAAAAGTAGCCATTTCACGCACCATACAAAGTCCACATGGGGTCGTTCACAGTGGGATGCACAACTGTACGGTACATTTGGGATATGTGCAGAAGGAAATCTGGAGTGTGCTGGCGTTCTCTAAATCCCTCCTCAAAGCTCACTTTTCTCACGTCCATATCGTCTTGGAGGTGGCGGGATTTCAGCAAAGTGCACATCTTTGAAATGTACACTGTCTTTTCCCATTGGTTTGTGTGCATTTTTCAGAAACGTGGATTTTTCCTTTCCATTGTTCAAATGTGCCCCAAGTGCTGAATGTATTCTGGGGTCCCCATGAATGACAGTGCGGGCTGGGAAATATATGGGGTTTGATAGCCCCCGGTGCCTGTTAGGTCCTAAAGATGTGAACTGGGTAAATCCTGAGCTAAAATTAACCAAAATGGCCTTGGGTTCTCGATCTGGTTCTGTGAACACAGATGACAGACATGCGAATCAGCAAAACTCAACAACGTTCTCCAGATTTCATCTCAGAGCTTGATCCTACCTGAGTTCATATCAGATTATGAGCTCTGCCCTTGTTTTGCATGAAAATTTACGCACATTTTCTTGTATTTTTTCATATGTAGGCATCCATCATAAACATCTTTAACATGCTTGTATACATCTTCCATTGTTTAAAGCATATTTATGCTCCTTTTTCAAAAGTATGCCATCTTTTCATGCACATTTTTCAGACATCTGCATGCTGTTCAATGCATTCTTTTGGGTCCGTCAGTCACATGGAAAGCTCAGAAATGTATGAACTTCGTATGGACTTTGACTGCAAATGGACTCCAAAATGGGCGTTCAGTCTAGAAGGGGTGACCTGACCAAAACTGAATTGAACTAAATTTCTCAAGCATCCCCAATGCTCATGAGCACAGAACTCGATTGGTGATGATTGAGGGACTTCTCCATGTGGGTTTCGAGTGCTGCTAAGAGGGATTGGAAGGGCAGATTTCCCTTCCAGAGTGGGATTTCTCTTTAGGCCCTTGAAGTAGGAGATCCAAAACTTCCTGTATTCCCTGGGATGCGACATGCATGGGCCACATTTGATTTTTAAAAAATATTAAGTCACTTTATGAATGCAGTTTGGCTATATTGCTCGAATTGAATAGTGGCGATGCAGTAGAGATGGTTCTCCTGGGGTGCAAGATACAGCGGAGGTCAGTTTGAATGGGCAACACTCACTGTTGAGGCTCTTGCTGCATCTTTTCTCTTTTTCAGGAAATGTTGAAGCTATCTATCATTGACATGCTCTTCACTGTGGCAAGCATCCTGTTGATCGATTTCTTCCGTGGGCTTTTTGTCCGATACTTGAGTGACTGTTGGTGCTGGGATTTGGAAAGCAAGTTTGTGAGTAAATATGTTTCCTCTGGAAAGCAAGCTTGCGGGCATATGCATCTCAGGAAAAGGGGATGCAGAGTTGTCGTATATTACACAGAGGTGGGATGGCTGACAAAACTGGCCTCTTTTATCTTGTTTTTCCTGCATCTTCAAGAGGGCATCCAATGACCTTTGGGTTAGCGCATCCCACTGGAATTCAGGCAAGGTCCTCTCTAGGAGAAAGAGCCACACAGCCTGCTCAGACCAGCCTCGCTTCATCTCAGCAGGACCCATGATGAGGCCTACAAGCTTTGCTAGCAAGGGTCTTCCTTTTGTTTATTCTATTGTCCTTTATGTTATCCTTAGCTCTCTCTCCTTCCGAGTGCTCTCCCAACCCTCTCCCTGCTTCATACTAGTTGGGGCCTGAGGGTAGACTTGCTATACTAGAAGGCTGCATAAGGATAGGGCCTTCCAAAACTAGCTAGCCAGTGAAAAGATGCCTCAGCCTGCTGAGGATTGCCTTTGCCCCTGCACTTCCTAGAATCATAGAATAGTAGAGTTGGAAGGGGCCATGAAGGCCTTTGAGTCCAACCTCCTGCTGTTGCAGGACACCAAGTCACACCATCCCACTCAGATGGCAGTCCAGGATCTTTTTGAATGTCTCCAGTGCAGGAGAGCCAATGACCTCTTAAGGCAGCTGATTCCACTGTCATATTGGTCTGCCAGTGAGGAAGCTTTTCCTGATGTCCAACCTGAATCTGGGTTATCACAACTTGAATGGATTATTCTGTGTCATTCATTCTGGCATCAGTGAGAAGAGATCTTGACCTTCCTCTTTGTGGCAGCCTTTGAGGTACTTACAGAGGGATATCATGTCTGTGGAATGTGCTCCCCAGAGAGGTTCACCTGGCGCCAACGTTATATGCTTTTCAGTGCCTGGTTAAAACCTTTTTATTTACCCAATATTTTATAGTTTAAAAAATTTTAATCAGATTCTATTCATCCTCAGTCGTATTTTACCTTGCTGTTGTATTTCTTGAATATTTATCACACTGTAAACCATCCAGAGATTATTCATATAGGACAGGATAAAAATATCCTATTAATTAATTAATTAAAAAATGTATGTCCCGCATGAGTCTTCTCTTCTCAAGGCTGAACATGCCCAGTTCTCTGAGTCTCTCCTCACAGGGCAGTGTTTCCAAACCCTGGATCATTTTGATTGCCCTCCCCTGGACCCTTCCTACTCATCATTTAGCCAGGCTCTTGGCCTTCCTCACTACTCCCAGCGAGGAAAACGCCGGTGCTGCCTGCACACACCCCTGCACGGTCCCTAACTGTGCTGCAGTGATGTGCAAAGCACGTGGGTCCCCCTCGCCTCGCCTCACCCACCCACTCCCCAGCCAGGGAGCAGCTGGATCCCTCCTTGCAGCGAGTGCGCATGGTGCTAAACAGCTACTGGCTCAGCCACGTGCTCTCTACCCGAGAGTAGACACAGTTGCCGGATTCTTCCCTTGAGAAGATGTGCGAGCGTTGAGCACTCGCTCCTGCCCATGATCCTGAGGCAAGAACTTCTCAACAATTCTGTGAGGTCGATTTTGCTCAGAGGGAGTGACTCGCCCAATGTCACCCAGTGAACCTAATGGCTCAGAGCGGACTAGAACCTGGATCTCCTGGTCCCCAGTTCAACCACCACACCACCCTGGCTGGTCAAGCTCACCAGGTTGGACCTTTCCTGCTGTCAGGTGTGAGTGGCTATGAAATGCCCTTCAGAAGATACCAAAAATGGGAATTCACAGGAAGAAGCTCCCCTCTCCCCGTGTAACCAGCAGCAGAACAAAGTCATGTCAGCTGCAGCCCCAGCCAATAGATGGTGCTATTTGATCGCCTGAGAGTTCAGTCAAGCTTCTGTCTTGTCTCTGTTTTGCCTTGGAAATGTCTTGAGAACAGCAAGTTGCAGAGGTTTAAGCTGTTAGTTCAACTTGCAAATCTGTATCCATGTCGGTCCTTTCAGTGAGCGCTCTGGCAGTTTTATTTAGCTGTGATGTGATGTTACACTGCCATTTGCTTTACTCCTGCTCACAGTAATGGGAAACATGCACAATTCGACAGGTTAACAGGAAGACAACACGATGTGAGGAGGAGAGAGATGGGTTGCAGCACTGGACGAGAGTGCTGTGTTTTGAGCACAGTTAGTGATGGGTGGATGAATTTCTACCCATCTCTCATCAAATAAAAATGGTACTCGAGGCAGTGCACAAAAATATCCAGATTAAAAACAAGATCTTTGTTAAAACATAGCAGAGAAACAAAAAATGAAAATGCTACTTAAGAAATTAATAGCACCAGCAAATTAAAGCCCAGTTTATATGGGAATAACCTAGCCTTCCTCAACTATTGTGAGTTATGGATTGCTTTAATTGGCACTGGCTGCAGCACATCCAAAAGGTGTGAAGTCCTTATCTTTGAAGTCTTGCTGCCATTTTCAAGCAGGCTTCCAAAACAGTAAGAAGAAAAAGGCTGAGAACTGCAGCACTTAGCCCTGCACACAAAACTACTGGGAATGAATTGTTGCTCTTCAGACAGGCATGCTGCTCAACCAGACTTGCATTTTCTTTCTTTTACTTTGCAGCCTGAATATGGAGAATTCAAGATAGCAGAAAATGTGCTGCATTTGGTCTACAACCAAGGGATGATTTGGTAAGTACTGCATAGGTCAGTCGGTCCTTTTTAACTTCACTGCGGCAGATGCCGTTTGGCCTGGGCCGTGACAGTGGGAGCATTTCCCAGGACGGCCCTGATGGCTGGGCCCATCCAGGCACGGGGCTCTTGGCCTGAGGAAGCCTGAGGCAGAGGAGCGAGACAGACCAATAGAGCCAGCGTGAAGTGACTCCCGATGCTGCAGCCCATGCCCAGTGGCTTGCATGCTTAGCTTAGGCTTAGCTGCTGCAATCTATAATCTGGAGAGAGAGACAATTCCTTCAAATACATGGCAGTGGATAGAATAACAACCTGTGCTCCATGCAGGAACCCATTTTAAAGCCTCCCTGAGAGGTGACTTCCCAATCTCTGCTTGAATCTCTCCATTGATGCAGAGCTTAGCACCTCCTGAGGCAGCTGGTTCTGACTGACAGAAAGTTCTTCCTGGTGTTCGACCACTATCTGCCTAGCTGCAGCTTAAGCACATATTTCATGTCCTACAGACTTGGATAATGAACAGGACGTGACCCTCTTCTGAGTGCTAACCCTTGGGTAGTTGAAAAGTGTTACGATGCACATTTTCTCATTGCTATTCATTCTGTGTGGGGTGGAACAGCTCTCCTGTTTTTAGTTCCCCTGTGCTTGTTGGAATTCATGCCTCTGTGGGGCTGAATTTCCAAACAACTGTGTATGATGGCTAGTATTGGAACTTCAGTCCTAGAATGCAATATGACAAGGAACATGCCGCCAATGGGCAAAAACTTTATAAACTAGGGGACGAATCTGTAAGGAACCAGGGAAGCTTTTGGAAATGCTTACCAAGAAACCGTGTATTTAGCTGGGCCTATTCTGAGTTCACTTGGGGAAGCTTGGCCTGCACAGGGCCCAGCGCCTTCGCTTTCTCCTTCTGAGCGCTGCCTGAGGGACTCTGGTTGTGTCCTTTGCTAGGATGGGGGCCTTCTTCTCACCTTGCCTGCCTGCGTTCAATGTCCTGAAGCTGATAGGGCTTATGTACCTGCGCAGCTGGGCAGTGTTAACATGCAATGTACCTCACCAGCAAGTCTTCAGAGCTTCAAGGTTAGTGAATAATATATAATGCAATGTGATGTGCTATGAAATATGAGATAACTAGCGAACAATCCAGCTCCACACGGGTGGGAATAGCTCTTGCATTGCTACCGCAAAGGCTGCAAGTAACCTTACGCTGTTGTCACAGTTGAACATGGTTTGCATGACTGGTTAGGTTCATGATGGGTTCTTTAAGACATGAACAGCTGCAGGAAGTGCTGGCCACCATTCTGAAAATGCAATCCTCAATGGGCTGATAACATGTCTCACAAATCCAGCCATCAAACGTAATGTGTAGGGCTGCAGTGACCTCCTGGAATCTGGCTTTCTTCTGTTCACTAGATTTTTTCTCATGCATTGCTCTAGCTTGGGAAGAAAGCCAAGCCAAGAGAAAGTCCGCAAATGCTTGCAGAACTCCAGCTGAGCAATCTGGCCACCTTCTTCCACAGCACATGCAGCACAAAGAGAGCCACAATATGCTAGTTCAGGGGCAAAGCAGGAACAAGGCATCGGATAGGGAAGAGGCAGAAAGGAACAAAGAAAACTAAAGCCATTGGCTTAAAGAATGCTGGGTATCTCTTGCCCAGATGAGGGCCGGCAGAGCAACAAAGAGCTCCTGAAGAGGGCTAATAACTGGGCACCAAAGCAGGGATAATTGGCTAGTGAGTTCAGGTGGAACAGTAACAACAGAGCAGTGAAGGTGGTTGGGCAGAAGGCAGGGGCAACAAATGGTCAGCGAAGCAAGTCAAACATAATCACTGAGCAGTGAGGCCTAGCAGAGGGCGAAGCTCGCAGTGGACAGCGATGGCAGAGCAGCGGCCAGTGATGGCCGAACTGCACATCCACAACGACTGTGTGGCTATCACTGATCCGCAACCTGGCTTCTCCTCTTCCCTCCCTGTTAACATTTCAGTAAGGCCTGATCTGGGAAATGTTGTTACCGCCTTGCCGATTTCCTTCCTCTCATCCCACTGCATTGATTGCCACTTAGGTGTGGGGGCAAAACATGACTTGTGGGGGAAAGGGAGGAAGAGGCGGTTAGGCAGCTGCTGACTTTGGCAACAGCCACACAATTATTGTGTAGGAAGCAGTTTTCACTCTAAATGGTTTTATTGGGAGTGAGGAGATAACCAGTTGTGTTTAGGGAGTTTGAGAAGGCCTGCTGTTTTGCAGTGCTTCTAATTCACATATGCCACCCAATAGAATCAAATCTCCAAGTGAGCAACCCACTGGCAATCTTGACCCACCATCAAGTCATAATAGAAACTTCTAGGACACAGCAATGGAATTTATCACTTCTATGAATTATGAAAGCCTTGGAGCCAGAAATAGGATACTTTAAAGGATGGAGCCCTGGGGAAAAAAAGATTAACCATTCTATGGGAGAGCTTCCAGTAGCAAAAGACTTGGGGAAAATGTGTTGTGAATTAATTTAGATACTAGAAATGCAGTGGTATGATGAGGAAATCTGTAATAACATGACCTCCTTTGCAAGTTGACACTACCTACCTTTGTAATAAATTAAATCACTAGATCTCCAATTTTATTTAGCAGGAAGCATGTCAAGATGCTAGAATGCTACCAGTGTGTTAGAATCCCAATACTATGCAGGAGAACTGTGTAATAACACTGCCTTCCTTTGTAGATCTAATAACTTCTACCTGGCAATGCTGCTCTTCATGCTCTTTCTGTGCATGCTTCCAACTATATTCGCTATTGCCCGCTATAAACCATCTCGAAACTGTGGCCCATTTAGGTGAGTCGATGCTGCCACTGAGTTTTATTGTGTGCACGTGCTAACCTCCAGGTGGTGTGGAGTTTGCCGTTTCAGCATGCATGTGATTTCCACCCATTTCCTGCAGCTATTTTTGGGAGAACGAACAGTGATGTGGGAAGGAGTCTACACCTCTTCCCCACTGCCACAGCAAAAACGATGGATATCTGGAGTGGCAATGGAGCTGCAAAAGGGTGGAAATGAGGTTGTTGAAAGGCTATTTTCAACTGTTTGATGCTCTGTATCCTTGTATCTGTAGCCATGGCTACTGAAAGGGAAAAAAGGTTTCATAATGGTAATCTGAACACCAATTTATCTAAGCAACATGTTTTAGAAATTTTCAGGCACATGGGGGTCCCTGGGGGTCAGCTGGAAGGGTCCTATGTTGCCTACCCCTTTTCTTCAGAAACAGGAAACCATGGTTAACTGTTTTGGGACAAGCCAGGGTATCATCCATGGTTTAGTATCTTGCCTTCTTCCAAAGCCGTGCAACACAATTTCTAGTCTGGACAAAGCGAGAAGCTGCAGTCAGTGGAAGGCATCCTGGTTGCTTTGCTTAATCGCTTGCTTCTTGCATCACTTGCCTGCGGGAAGGGGCTGCACGTGCAGCCACAGCGCTTGCTCTTTCTTGGCTTCTTAAGCTCAGGCAGGATCCTCTGAAATTGCCTGTTAGCCGAGCAATATGGAAGGATTCCCTGTAGCAGATCATATGCCGAGGGCAGAATGTCAGAAAGAGGCTTTAGAATTTTAAAAGTGCTCCACGTCCATTGGATTGCTTCTCTTTACAACAGGACCGCGTGTGATGTTATGACCCAGGCAGAGCGATGGTGGCCGTCCCCTTTGCGGCAAGGGCTGGATCTGAATCCAGAGGGGCTCCCGCCTCAGCCTGTTCATCGCAGCATGCTGTGGCTCCCATTGTTCAGTGGGCCACTAATGATGCCTTCACTCTTATCCAAAGCTGCCTGTATTCTGCAGTTGCAGAACATGAACTTTGGAATCCCAAGACTCTGAGTCTTTAAAAAACAGGGTGGGCATGTTCTCGAAGGAACAATCCTGAAAGGGCTATACCATACAGTTCATGCTGTATGCAAGACCACAACAAGCAAGCATTCCACAGCTTGCCAATAAATTAATGCAAGATTTTCGTGTCATCTCAGAGAACTCTTGGAAAAGCTGGCAGGGTTTTCATGTATGTTCTAAAAACTTGGAATACTTGACTTCAGCCCTTTCTACCAATCCAGTCTCTGCTTCTTGTCTAAGTCTATTGTAACCAGAAAACAATTTTGAAACGCTTAAGATGCTTTGAATTTTCTGAGAGAACAATTGGTTGTTTTTTTTTCCCATCCTAGTGGGCAAGAAAAAATCTATGACATTGTGTCTGAAACCATCCAAGCTGACTTTCCTGTCTGGTTCAACAAGGTGATGACTTATGTGAGCAGTCCTGTAGTTGTTCTCCCTGCTTTACTGCTTCTCTTGTAAGTCTATAAATCTCTTGTCGATTTCACTGCCCACAGTCAGCTGCTCCCCTCTCCTCCCTCTGTTAAGGCCATGCAACTCTTCTGTGGGCTACACCATTTTAGGTGTGGGTGAAGGAGACCAGGATGGGATGCTCTCCCATTTAAAAAGGCTCCACAGTTGGATACGTAATATTTCATGGGGGAAATACTAGACCAGAACTTTTGCCTATGATATCACCTTTCCACATGCACATGGCTTTTGACATAGAGTAACCAATACTGCCAAAAGAGCTTCAGCTATCAAGTTGTATAGGCATGTAATGAATGAATAAAATGTTTCCACCTTACCCTGCTTCATTCTTGAAGTGGTATAGTCCTAGGAGGGCTGTGCCATGCAATTACAGTGCAGATTGAATGCTACTAGAATGCAGGCTTTGCACCTTAACTGGTGGAGAAACACCTACAAGTCTGTAAAAGTAATTGCTTTTCTTTAAAAATATATCTTTGGCTCACCCATAATAAATGAGAGTGCTGCATCAATTGTGAGCCAAGCTTTGTGGCATTTCATGAAACAGCAGCTTCTGCAGCACAAGACAGCAGCACTGAAAGTGGCACCTTACAATATTTTGACCTCAGATGCAATATGTGAGTAGAGTGCCCACGCACTCTTTGTTTCTTTGCCCTTTGAAATGCACAGAGAATTGGGAATTGGGAAGGGCTTCTGCTATTTTGAACAACAAATACTGTGTTCCAAGCCAGTGTCTTAGGCCTCATCTGGAGTCCTGGGTCCAGCTCTGGGCAACACAGTTGAAGGATGGTGCAGACAAGCTGGAAAGGGTTCAGAGGAGGGCAGCAAGGATGATCCAGGGACTAGAAACCAGCCCTATGAGGAGAGATAGAAAGAACTAGGCATGTCCAGCCTCAAGAAGAGAAGACTGAGGGGAGATACAATGACATTCTACAAGTATCTGAAAGGTTGTCCCCAAGAGGGAGGACCGGATCTCTTCTCAGTCATCTCAGAGTGCAGGACATGGACAAATGGGCTTAAGTTACAGGAAGCCAGATTCCAGATGCATATCAGGAAAAAACTCCTGACTATTTGAGCAGTATGGCAAAGGAACCAATGGCCTAGGGAGGTGGTGGGCTCTCCCACACCGGAGGCATTCAAGATGCAACTGGACAGCCATCGGGGAGGGATGGTTTGACTTGGAGTCCTGCAGTGGGCAAGGGGGTTGGACCCGAGGGCCCTCTGGCCCCTCCAACTCTACTGCTGTATGATTCTGTGCAATGAACAATAAGGGTTGGAAATCTTTACTCCTGTGGGAATTAATGATTGCAGCAATAATAATCCAGCGCCTGCATCCCAGAGTGATGTGATTCAGAGGTTGCCTTATGCTCCTCTCTTCCAGCATGCTCATTTATTACCTCCAGAGTATTGCACGGTCATTAAAATTCACTAACAACCAACTGAGGATGCAGATCCAGAATGTGAGTATGCAGCAAAAGCTCTTCTTGCACCTCCTCTTACAGTGCAACCCGTAGCTGCCCAGAACCCTCCAAACTCTGAGAATGATGTGCACCTTTGGAGGGAGGAAGAAGCATGGAAGTGAAGGTCTCTTCTGTGACCTTCCCTGCAGAGACTCAGATTTTGCCTCGGAGCGGACAGCGGGAGGCTCGGGCACAGCCAGGATCCTGTATATGTAGGCAGGACCTTTCCCCGCCCCTCCCCACCCCCAGAATATCCACAATCACCATCTCTGAGGTCACCCTTATGACCTTGCGCCACAGTTGGCATGGTTCCTCCGATGCCAACTGCGAGGGGGGAGCAAAGGTACCTCAGCACTGACCTTGGAGCAAGTTTCCAAGCTCAGGCCTGGCATTCGGAGCTCTCCTGGAGCTGCCCAGACAGCAACTCAAAGCCGTCAGATTGTGCCTTCAGTGGCTTTCCAAAATGGGCTCTCCATAATCCAGGATAAAGAGAAAGGGCAGCTGGGGAAGACGCGAAAGATGCCTACAAGACAAGTCCCTTGCCTACCATCTTTATGCAGTACGCCCCTCTCCCTCTCTCTCTCTCTCTCTCTCTCTCTCTCTCTCTCTCTCTCTCTCACACACACACACACACACACACACACACACACACAGAGTTGCTATTTTATAATGCCAGGGTTTTAATTAATTAGATTTATGTATGTTCTAGGAAAGAACTGAAGACAAGAAAAAAGTGGTCCAAATGGCAGCAGGTGAGCCAAAATGCCAGCAAAAGCTCATGCCATTACTTCACTGCATGCCCTCTGGGGTTACTGATTTTCTTTTTCACAAACTGCAGTAGCTCCAACTTTTCTCCTTCTCTGCAAGATCCAGCTGTAAATCCTTTAGTTTTTTTTTGGTTTGCTCTTGCCCCTGCTACATATACTATACAGTAATGGCAAGATTCAGCAATAAGTTCCACTGAATAGTGTAACTACCACCACCACCACCACCACCGATAGCAGCAGAAGACAGCAACAGAAGTGTTTTGGCTGGATCTCGCTGCTCTTGCTCATGCCAAGGGCGCCATGTCCAGGCAGCTTAGGATTGCATGGCCTCTGTGACCGCCATGGGATGCCCCAGACACGGACAAGCTCATCCACTGAGAGGCAGTGTGGTGTGGTGGAAAGAGTGGCATGGCCAGCTTCCCCACTGAATTTTCCATGGGGTGCTGCAGAGGTGGTTTCTCCGCCCTCTCTGTCATCTACACAAAGCTGCTGCACAAGGTCATCCAGAGTTTTGGCCTGTGTCCTCATCCCTCTAGTGATGACACACAGCTCTCTCTCTCCCTTTCATCTCCATCAGGTGAGGCTGTGGGTGCGCTAAATCAGGCCCTGGCTTTGACGATGGACTGGGTGAGGGTTAATAAACTGAAGCTCGGTCCAGACCGGCTTGTGCTGTTGTTAGTGGGTGTTTTTTCTGGCTGGGTTGAAGAGGTCCAGCTTGTTCTGCATGGAGCTGCTCTCCACCTGAAAGAGCAGGATCTTAGGCTGAGAGTTCCCCTTGGAACTCATTGTCAGTTGAGGCTCAGTGGGACGGGCTGCCTCTTACTAACACTGGTTGGTGACCTTACTGCTCTTTTATCTGGCTTTGATAATCTATGCTCTGGTGGCCTCCAAGTTGGAGTACTTAAACGGACGGCCTTTGGAAGCTACAGCTTGAACAAAATGCAGTGGCCAGGCCAAGGGACCAAGACAACCTGAACACGCCACACCAAGCACTCTGGTCTTCTTGCACTGCCCGCGTGTTTCTGAGCCTGATTCAGTATGCTGCATGCTGAGGATAGCTCAGGCCAGCAATACCTGATGGAGCCCCCTGCCCCTAGTATGAACCTATGGATACTGGGCCCGCAGCATATCATCAGAGGCCCCCCAGCCTTCAAGGAGGCTTAAAGGATAGCAACCGGGGAGGGGGCTTCTTAGTGGTGGCTCCACAAGTCTGGAACAATTTGCTTGATGAAGCCCATTTGCACCAACACTCTCTTCTTTTCAGTGTCAGGGTAAGACGTTCCTTTACTCCCAGGCATTTGACAGCAGGCAATAAGATTCTTAATAGGTCTGGAGTTGTACTGTTTTGTTTTAAAGCCATTATACTTTGGTACATGGGCTTTATATGAGGTGTTTTTAGGGTTTCGATCCTTGCAAACTGTCCAGTGAGCGTTGGCTATTGGTTGGTATAGAAAACAGCAACCGAATTGCAGCTCCGGCTGCTTCCCAGGGGTCAGGCTGCAGGAATCCCATGGAGGCCACACAAGCTGCCATTTGGAGAAATGTGTCCATTGTCACTGATCTTTTCAGTGAGGCCCAACAGAACTGCAGGGAATCCTGAGACATTGCTTTGAAAATTACTCTTGCAGTTAATGGCAACAGAGAGCGTAATTGTTTCTTTTGTAATGACTTATCAGCCAGAATCCAAACTGTGGTAGGGAATGACAAGCGGCCAGAGCAGGAAAGTGACATCATCAGCCAGGAGTCTTCTGTTCGGTCCTCAACGCCAAGGAAAAATGGCAGCGTGGTGAATTTTGAGTCTCCTAAAGGCAGCCGAATACAGACAATCTCTCAGTCCGTACCACAGCCCGAAGTGGCAAAGGCGGTCAGCCCCATCCCAGCGAACGCTACCCCAGCGCCTCCAACACCCGTTGCTCCAATACCTGTCACCCCAACACCTTCTCTTCCCCCTGTGCAGAAGCCTAGAACTGAGCCTCCAGCCAGCAGGTAAGACCTTCCCCTTGAGCTCCTGATGCTTTACAAAGGCTGCATTAACATGTGTGAATGCACCACCCCAGATGAGTGTCTGTGGCAGCTCTTCCTCCCGTTCCAGGTAGCATCTTGCCCAATGAAGAGATTTGGAGTTTGTGAAAGCTTACCCACAATGTTGTGCTTTTTGAGTTGTTGTCTGATCATAAATCTGGGTATATTGAACAGGTCAAACCTTAAAATAGTAAAGCTATAGTGTAGAGCAGTGCTCAGATTATGCAGGGGAGTTATATCCATAGTGCCCGCTGTTAGCCAAAGTGCACACACACTCTATTTTGGTCTTCTGAACACACAAACACACACCTGTAGCCTGTTAAAGAGGCCATCAGAAAAGGTAAGGAGCTTGAAACTCCTGTACTACCGCAAAGATTTGAGGGCAAGAAAATGACGTGGAGTACACAGACTTGATCTGTTGGGCCTTGTCAGAAATTCATTTCCATTTGGGTTTGATCAGGATTTATCCAGTCTGCACCTCTCAGGCCACAAAGGGACTCTTCAGTAAAGGTTTGTTCATCGTGAGCCAGCAGGGTGTGAGGTGCTGGCTTGGGACTTGGGGGATTTGGGCTTTACTCCCCATCTGACCAGGGTGACCTTGGACCAGTCACAGATTCTCAGCCTAGCCTGCCTGTTGTGAGAATAGGATGAGAGGAAGAGACTCTTACCAACCTTTACATTCCTTGCAACAGGAAAAGGGGTGGGGTATAAACATAATGCTATGTTATGCAATGTAATAATAATTTCTGAACTTGCAGGGTGCTTTGAAGATCTCAAAACGATCATACAAGCAAATACATTTGAAAAATATATATGTAAAAAGCATACTTTTGAAAAATACATACATATACACTTAAATCAATGTGAGAAGAAGGCATGCATTGTGAAGATGCACCAAACTGATGCATGCATTTGCAAAACTTTGCACAAAAATTTGCAAAAGTACAAGATGACACTCTGAAATCCATAATGTAAAAGCAAGGCTTGCAGTCTGACACAGACTCGCTTTAGATTGAGCTTCAAGATGAGAATCAGGGCACTTCAGCAATCCTGGGTTTTGCTGGTTTGTGCATCCCTCTTGCAGCAAATATTGACTGTGTGTTGCAAGGAATAACTGTTTGTAATTGCCAAGCTGGACTACTGTTACAGCTTGTTCGCTATTATTTATCTAGTGTCTTTGTACACTGCCATTCTGAAATCAACCAAGGCAGTTTACACAAATTTCCAGAAATGCACAACCATGATCACAACAAAGCATTAAAACAACCTTAAAGCCATGCAAACAAATTTAAAAGCAAAGCTGAAAACACGTGTCTTGAACTCCCTCCCGGAACACAGAAAGTCTGGGGGCCAGCCATGACTCTAAAGCAGGCATGGGCTGGCTGGATTCATCTCAGAGTGGAAACAAACTACAGCAGGCTAAACCCACCAGCCTCTCTGTCTCTCTTCAGGTATCCAAGTACTGCTCATGGGAGTGCAAGTGAACTCTGCAAAGCTAAAGCTTACACCCCCGCGAAGTTCAAGAAGCGCGTAGAGGACGTTCATTCAGACCCTCTGTTTAGAAAGAGCCTCCGACAGATCAATCCAGAGGCTCACGGTACCAGCGGAGTTCCCCCTTTCGTGGGCCGCCGGGCCCACACAGCCAGGTACTTTATCGTCAACGAACGTGAGCCACGCAACAAAATCCTCCGTTCAACCACCAGATTGCCAAGGAATCTCCGAATGGATGACTCAGGTGAGATAGTTGAGTTATATCCGAGAAATTTCCGACGGTACGTGGTTCGGACACCCCACCGGGTGTACTCACCCCATTTCAGTGAAGAGGAGGAAGAGGAGGAGTTCAGGAGAAGCATGGCAGGTCGATCTCACCGCCCACGGTCACTTTCTGATCTCCGGGCAGCCCCTCGTTTCTACATTGGGGAGCGTGCCGACAGCCAAATCCTGACCAGCAAGGCCTTGTCCAAAATGCGCTACAAATCTTGGGAAGATGGTTTCGGGCTCACATTCGACAAGCCCCCACATGTCCACCGGAAGATTCATGTGAAGAACATTGAGCTGGACCAGCCCTACCTGGAACACCACGTGAAGGCAAAATCCAAACACAAGACCGAACCTTCCCCAACTGAATCTGACTCCATTTCGGTTGACTCTAGCAGCGATCAGCCAACCAGCGGCAATGATCAGTACATTCAGGTCATTCATAGCAAAGAAAAATATCTGAAACCTGGCGCAAAACAAACCAGGAAGAAATCCAAGACTGCTATTGACCTAAACATGACTGAGGCCAATGAACTGATATGCTCTAACGTCTAGTGGAGTGGCAAGCTGCAACCTTCCAGAATTACTAAGCTGAGCACCGTATCATTTAATTGTCTGTACCGTTTAATCCAAGGATGGGCACTTCATAGGCCAAAACATCAAGAGGCTGAAAATTCCCATCATCCTAGGCACTGGTGAGCAGAAATGGAGTTGTGGTCCAACAGCACCTGGAAGTTTCGGCACTCTCAATCTTTGCCCCAGTGAAGTAAAATAAACTCACTCCCTCTACTAAGAGGGATTCTCCCTGTTCAACCATCCTTGGCTAAATAATATTATTGTAATAATATATGACTTTTATTGTAATGGTTGCCCTGAGAGCGTGATGCTATCAGCTGGCTTCCAAATTCAATACATAAATAAATAGATAGCTATTGTAACATTAGACACAGGCATTTCAAAGCATTTTAAAAAAGCATACAGAGATATCAAGTGAAATTTATTCCATCTTCTTAAAAATCTTAGCATTTTTAAGCTTCTGGATTCTGGCAAACATCACCTCTCCCCATCTCTGTCCTGGTTTGCCAGACCATGAGCTGCTAGCCCTCTCTTTGCTGCCGGAGGATTCTTAGCCAGCAATTGTCACATGACACAAATAGGCCAACAGGATTACACCGACCCTACAAAATGACCCAGATCAGTTCTTCAGACTGAGTTCAATCGGTACTAGCATGAACACTTGCTTCCAGCTTAGCGAAGTGGCTGGCATGCCTTTCAGCTGGGAGGATGTGCCACACTCCTCCGTGGCCCCTTTGCTCACTACTGGCGTTTAATATCTTGTTAGTCAACGTGATTCCCACACGGTTCAGCAGCTACTTCAGACTGAACTGCCTTCCTAACCTCATTACAGTACCTATTTGGCTTCACTTCTCATAGTACCAGTTTTCAGTGACGCCCCAAACTTTTCCATGAGTATTCTATCATTTCAGGTGAAACCTTCCCAAGGCAGCGTATTAGCTAAAACCAAGAAAAGTGGTTTTATCAGTCAATATATATTCAGTAAAGATTCACAAAAATAGATTAAAAAAATAAACACAGGCAGCATTTACTGGTACAACAAGCAGCCCAAGATACTTTGGGAAGGTCAGAGAAAGCAGGTGAATCTTCTGAGCTTTCCTGAGAATAGCAAAGAAGATGCCTGATGAAGCAGACAGAAGCAGATCCCAGAAAATATGGGGCTATCCCTAAGAAGCCCCCACCCTGCATACTTGCTGACCTGTCAGCCCTTGGTGATGGCAAAGGAAAAGAGCATCTGGCATTAGTGAGCAGGCAGGCCAGTATAGGAGAAAGTGAGTTCTCCTTGCCCTCTTACCACCCCAGTCCAATGGGGAGCTGCTTTTAAGGAAAGACAGTGTGGTTCTTCTGCGTGCCATATCACTTAAACCAAGACATCTCAGAATGAACATGGACCCATCCTGGCTGTGGATAACGGCAGTGGTCGTCCAACACACGCAAAGAGCGCTAGATTGGGGAAGGCTGGTGCATCAGCATGGGATTTTCTTCCCCTTTGGGTTCACTGCATTTATGCAACAGAGAAGCCACTTCCCTACTGGGAAGGACGTGACAAGGGAAAGCACATATCCTTGCCATATGCTTTGGCCTCTTTGGCCTGGCAAATGGATGGGAGGTTTTAATGCATTGTTTGGGTGAGGTTTGGAAGATCTAAGGTGCTGAATTCACACTGTATCCGCTGAATCTGATCTGCATGCTCCCTAACCAGAAGACCAAACAAAACAAAAACCAGACATATTGTGAAGAAGAAGAGAGAACCTACATGAAATCATCTGTATATACATGGTAGTTGGTTTCTCACACTTTATGGTACACCTACAAGAGTTCACAAAACAGCGCTGCAATTCCTGCATGAGGCAAAAACTCAACAGCCGCACAACATTCTCTCTGTCCTGGCAGCTGCAGTGGGATCTCTCTCTCCTTTTTCGGCAGCAATGGCTTTGGTGACCTCTGCGAGTAGCCTTCCTCAACCTCCCAACCTCCAAATGTTTTGGACTATAACTATCACCATCCGTGCCCATGGACAAGACTAGGTGGGGCTCAAGGGAGCTGCAGTCCAAAATACCTGGAGGTCAACAGATGGGCAAAGCTACCTTTCAGGTGAACAAACATGTTAGAACACCGGCAGTGACTTATCCCAGGTCAGGCTCTTGATCCATCCAGCTCAGGATTATGTCTGCACTGATGGAGAGCAGCTTTCCAGGGAGCCTTTCCCATCTCTTCCTGGAGACATATAAAGCCAAGCTCTTTGGCATGGAAAGATGCGCTTTACCACTGAGCTGCAGCTTCTACCAGGCCTTCCTGAGGAGGACATCTCAGGTGACATGGGTGTGACAGGCTATTCTACAGCCAGAAAGTTCAGCAGTTCAAGAGAGAGGTGTGTTGCACCATGATGATACAGTGCACAAATGATACAGTGTGTTGCACCATGATACAGGGCCCAAATGAAAAGAAGATCCAGTCCGAGGCATAAAAGTAGTCAGAGTGGGTGCAACCCAAATCCCCATTGCTAACAAACCAGCAAAGCAATTTGAAGAGTGGACACATACGCACCAAAAGGGGCAGCTTCAAGTTCAACTCTGATCAAGTCCAACCTGCAAGTGCATTATAGCAGAACAGCTTGGAGGACTCCCTCCGAAGCACCTAATAAAGGCCAGTGTGTGCCAACGGTTTCCCTTCTGCCAGCAACAGTGGGGAAACTTGGCAGTCCGGATGACTCCAGTGAATAAACAGACACAAAGGTTCACGGGGCACACCTCTCTCTGCATTGCTTCCGATTTGCAGCAATATTCCTCACCCCACACTCCCCTGCATCTGTACTCTCATACTTCAGCTGCAGATCCTGGGTTCATGCCTCCCTTAGGAGGAGTGGTCCAACACACCTGGAAGCACCAGCATGGAGAAGGCTGGTGTCCCATCTGAGATTCTGAGCACAGCAGATCCCCAGTCCGATACATGCTCCATATTCTACCCACTTTCACAAAACACTGAGCATGCCCATAATTTGGGGGAAATTCCCCACTTGCTTTTTCAATTCTAACCTGTCAACCTCATTGAAAGAAGAGGCTTAGTTCCTGCTATACAGAAAGGTCCGTGAAAATCAATCCAAAAGAAACCCACTTAGAGGGTACTTTTTAGTCTCATCCTGTGCAATCAGCTCCTGAACATGTGCAAACTGTTTTAATTACCAGCTTTGATGCATCTTTCAGAAAGGGACAGAAGAGAAGGTGCTACCATCAGACCCTCTCCATGAACACAAAGACAATCGTCACCCACCCCCTGCCCCAGGGCTGCCACATGTCTGCAGAGCTTGGCTCCTGCGTCTTCAGCAACCGCATGAGAGAGATAAGCCCAGCTGTGCCATGAAATGAGCGAGTTTCCCCCTTGCCCTCTGCTCCCTTCCTGCGGAGCCTGCGAGGCCAGGCGTCAGGGGCGTCTCCTCCTCGCACCGGAGCCACCACACGCTCGGCACAATGGCCGAAGCAGGTCCGGCCGCAGTCGAAATTGCGCCCCCGCAAACGCCCCCGCGAGCCGAGCCGCATGCGGGCACCCCTTTGCTTTCCGTGCTCGTTCGGCACGGCAGGTGGCGTGCGGAAGAGCCCCCGCCCCCAGCGCGGCTACCCCTCGGCCTGCCCAGGCTCGCGGGGCGGTGGCGAGGATAACGCGGGGCTGCCGGGCGAGGCGCGTGGCCCCGCGGCCCGTGCCGGGAGCGAGGCACGCGGGGCGAGAGCAGCGCAGCGCAGCGCAGCCCGGCCCCGGGCGGGACGCTCCCTCCCCGCTGACGCCGGAGCCCGGCCCGGCCCGCGCTTCCAGGAGAAGAGGGCGCGCCGGCGAGTCCCACCGAAGGCTCGGCCCCCTGCTGGGCGGGCCTTGCCGGCCGCTCTCTTCCGCGCCAGCCCGCTCGGGTGTTCTGTTCGCTCGCCATGGATTACCAGGAGGCCGCCCGCAGGGCTGCTGAGCACATGCAAAGCTACCGGAGAGACGGCGGCGCCTGGCGCAGCTGCAAGCGCACGGTGAGCCTCTCCCCCGCGGCCGCGACGGGCTGCTCCGTTTCCCGCGCCCGGTGAGCGGCCCGACGGTAGGGGCTGGTCGCACTCCGGCGATGGCTGTACCACTTCGAACTGCCAGTGGAGGACGTGGATTGAGCACTCAGCACCCGCCCGCCCCAGTATTTTCTTTTAATCTTCCTGGATTTAGGAAGACAGCATATTTAGGGGGAGAGATGCTTCCTCGAGCTCCTTTCCTGCGGTGCTACATTTCTATTTGCAGGGAGGGCTGTTTTTGTAAATCGTGGTTATTCCTTGGCGGGGGTGGGGGGGGGGGGATGTTAACTGTACACACGTGCGCAGTACAATGTTGAGCCACGATCTCCAGAAGTTGCCGGGTTGCATGGCAGTAAAGCACAGAGTTCTCCTTGTAAAGGCCACAGTTCTAGTCTTCGGACACTGCGGGGTGGAGGCCAGCCCAGAGATCATGGGCAGGAACTGTAACTCAGCAGTACAGCATAAACTCAGGTTCAGTTCTGGGCAACGTCGCTGGTTAAAAGGATTGGGCAGCAGATGGATGGAAAAAAACCCTGCTTGACCCCTGGAGAGTTGCTACCCATCAGAATGGACTGACAGCCTGACCTTGTCTAAGAGAGCTTCCTCTGTTCCTAAATCAATCTCTTAGGGTGTAATTCTATGCATGTTTAGACCAAAAGGGGTCCTATAGCTTGCAGCATCATGCCCTACTTGTGCTGGGAGACACAGGACTTTTCTTCCTGCCTAAACATGCATAGGATTTTCCTCTTACATGAGTACTTACAGCTGGATTCCATGGGAGCAGGCACCTAAATGCCCGGTATAAGGACATGCAATGTGCAGCTTCTTTTACCATTCTTCAGGCTGGACTGCCCAAAAGCTTGGTGCTGTGGGGAGGCAGTCCTGTGTCTGTTAGGCAGAAGGAAGCCTTCTGATCCCTGGCATGGCCCAGCCTGTCACTGAAGAAGCCAAGCCCCTCTTTTGCATGCAGCAGCTCCCAGTTCAGTCCCCCGGATCCCCAAGTGGGGCTGGGAAGAGACCTAGCCTAGAAAGGGTGGCCAGTGGGCTAGCTCGTTTTATGCAGTAGAAGGCAGCTTCTGACATTCCTAAAAGGACAAGCATACCCCCCCCCCCCGTGTGGATCAGCATTCTGAAAAAGAAACACCAGTGAGCCATTCTGCAGACGCCTTCGATTTCCAAAACCAGCACAGGGTGCAGAGTCAATTTTGGGCTGCCAGTTCAGCTAGTGCAACATGGAGCCTGTGCCACTGTAAAGGCTAGCAAACTTGTTCCAGGGCAAGCTTGCAGCAGATGCCCGGAGCACTCTGGAGGGTTTCCAGGTGGGTGGGTGTGGACGGGGGCTGGGAAAACCCTGTCGGAAGGATAACAAAATGCAGCAGGAAGAAGAGGAAGACAATGAAACGCCTTAACAGTGAGTAACTTGGAGAAGGGGGGAAGGAAGGAGGCTGATGTCACAGCAATTCTGGTGGTGGGTAAGAGGAAGGGCCCTTTGATGATAGAGGGCTGTCCCCGTTTTCCTCCTCTGAACCCCTTTGCTGCGTTTCCTTCTCTCCTGGAAGCTTTTGTGTATCCCTTTGTGCAGAGAATGGGAACGAGGAAGCAATGTGATACTCATTGTGCCGCCAGGGAGAGGAGGAGGGAAGCACTGCCACCCTGCCTGCCGTCATTGGTCCCTCCAAGGACACGCCACGCTGTGACGCGGTTCAGCAGGGAGGCGGAAATTTGCTTTTCACTCGGGAAGCAGCGCTTGTGTGAGCCTTGCCCTAAAGAAAGGAGTGGCTGCCATGGGGCAGGTGAGGGATGAAGATTGCCTTGGTGGCACTGACGGCTTCAGCTCTGGCCAGCTGTGTCGCGGCATCACCCTCTGCTCTGCCCCTTTTGGAAAGAGGTGCACTGGGCTGGGACTTGCAGGACGTTTTGCTGCCTAAAGAATTGCACCTTTTCTCAGAGCAATTTTTATTGTATTGTAGTATCATTAGCCACTGTATCCTGAAAAGCAATTTTTAATGTCAGAAGGAGCGCCACAGTAGGACCATAGTTCTGCGGGCAGCAGATCTGCGTTGCTTGATCTGCAGCTCCTCCAGGTAAAGCGGGAGGGAGCCCCTGCTCTGCAGCCCTGGGGAGAGAGCCATGGCTGCCCGGCAGTGTTGACCGTGCCGGTAGTTGCACCAAGGGCCTGACTCAGCATGAGGCAGTTTCAAATGTTCCCATGCATAATTGGCCACCCTCTGCCTACACCTCATGCCACCAGAATTGAGAGGCGAGGGGGCAGGATCCTCAGGCAAATTTGCTCACCAGCCAGCCCAGACTCCAAATGGTGGCCCATTTAGCACAGCCTTTCCTGACCTGGAGCCTTCCAGATGTGTTGGACTACAAGTTCCAACACATCTGGAGGGCACCAGGTAGGAGAGGCTGATTTAGGGCAGGTGTAGAGGTGGAGATGTTTCTAAAAACAGACAGACAAAAACTGGCAAGGTTCAGAGATACAGCGATGTGAACTGAGGGAGCCAGTGGAAATCCTATCTATAATGATGTTGTTGTTAGACGCGAAGTCGTCTCCGACCCATCGCGACCCCATGGACAACATTCCTCCAGGCCTTCCTGTCCTCCACCATCACCTGGAGTCCACTCAAGCCCACACCCACTGCCTCAGTGACTCCATCCAGCCACCTCATCCTCTGCCGTCCCCTTCTTCTTTTGCCATCATTTGTTCCCAGCATTAGGCTCTTCTCCAGGGAGTCCTTCCTTCTCATTAGGTAGCCAAAGTATTTGAGTTTCATCTTCAGGATCTGGCCTTCTAAATAGCAGTCAGGGTTGATCTCCTCTAGGACTGACCGGTTTGATCACCTTGCAGTCCAAGGGACTCACAGGAGTCTCCTCCAGCACCACAAGGCCTCAATCCTTTTGCGCTCAGTCTTCCTTATGGTCCAGCTTTCACAGTCATACATTGCAACTGGGAAAACCATGGCCTTGACTATACGCACTTTTGTTGGCAGGGTGATGTCTCTGCTTTTTAGTATGCT